TCCTGCTTTTAGCGGGAGATGCGCCCTGCAGGGAAGGCTCAGCCCCCCCAAAACTAGGTGCAACTCTCGGCCAGGACCCAAAGAGCTCACACGTCCCTGCAGACCCAATGTTGGGGTGCGGGGCGGCTTGCCATGGGCGCTGGGGATCCCCGGCTGCTGGAAACGCCGCTCTGCAGCCCCCACCGAGCAGGCAAATCCCAACCGGGGGCCCCTTTAACCCCGGGTTTGGGGTCTGCCTCCACGCATGCTCCCTCCACGCCCGGAGCCCCTCTGCTTTCAAGGAAACTGGAATAAGTTGGGAAAATTGGTTTGTTTATGTTTGTTTTTCCAGCAGACCGCAGCGGGGCCAGGGCACACCCCCCTCGCCCGGTGTTTATTTGCTGCTGTGCATTTGCTTGCGGTGATTTGATTTTTTTTCCCCACTCTCCCCTATCAAAGCAAAGGCCGAGAGGATGTTTGTAGCCCCTGGAAACATTTTTGGCGACGATAATAATTTCCCTCCATCTTCCTGCGGGTATCGGGGTGTCCTTCTTGCCAAGCTGCCTTCTCACCTGAGGGCACGGTGCTCCGGTCGCAGTGCCCATCCTTCAGGAGCCTGTCTCGGATCTCCCAGCTAAACATCCCGGGGTTTTCCCGTTTGTATTCCTCGATTTTCTTCTCCACGTCGGGAGTCGCAACCTGCTTTTGTGATCAAGGGACACCGGTGCGTGCCCGCGTGTGCAGAGAGAGGGAAGGGGAGAGAAAAAGCGCTTTTAATTGAAAAGAAAAGCTGCTCAGCTCAGTTCAATCCTCCTCACCCTGGCTGCTAGTTTTGGGGCTAAAAATAGGGATTTGAAGGGGGAAAAGGAGGAAAATAAAGCTGGGGAAAGGCCCTCCTCTCCCAAATGTTGGCCTCCCTAAAAGTAGAGTCTCTGGGGGCCAAGGAGATCAGTCAGGATGGGCTGAGCCCCAGGGGGGAAGGAGGCAGGAAGGGGGTGCAGGGGATGCTTTTTGGGGAGCTTTTTATAGACCCAGTGATTTATTATTCCCCAAAACCCTCTGGCTTGCGTCCTCCCCACACACCGGGGCCGAAGCAAATGCTTGAACGAACGCCACTTGTTGCACATGGGGAGGGGGGGAAAAATCACCTTAATTTATTCATAGGCTTCAACTCTGCACTGATTTTCACCCATCTGAGCCTGCAAACTGCAGCTTTATTAAAGCCTCTCCCCCTCCTCCCCCCTTCCCCTGTGCATCCACCTGAAAAACTTATCCCCCCCCAAAGAAATCTTAATTTTTTTGGAACATCAGGAGGCCCCCGCATTGCACTCACCCTGGGCTTGCTGCCTCCGATGGCTCCGGGACGGATGGAGCCCGTCTCCTGGTACCTGCAGAGGATTTTGGAGACGCAACCGTGGGAGACCCGCAACTGCCGGGAGATCACGCAGGGCCGGATCCCGTGGTGGGCCATCTCCACGATTTTATGACGGATGTGGTTGGGTAGCGGCCGACCGTTGATGAACACCCCTCCGAGCTGGTTCACCCTGCCCTGGCCCAGCGGGGTGGACACTGGAAAGCAAGGGGAGGAAAAAAAAAAAAAAAACCAAACAAAAACAAAACAACCCAACAAGAACAGGGAGGAAAAAGTTAAAAGAGGGAAAAATCCAGCAAAACGGGGCACATCCCTCCCCGCACCTTCAGCTTCTCTCCCGGTATTTGGATTTTTAAAAGAAGGGAGAAAGCTCTCGCCCATCCCCTGGCCTCGGTATTTATCTCTGCATCGCAGGGAAGACTTTTTCCCATCCAGAGAGGGGAAAATAAAACCGGCCCGTGACCCGCACGCCCATCGCCCTGCTCCGAGGCAGCCGCTACGTTTATGTCTCTCCCTCTATATTTTTGGCATTTCACACCTACATTTTAAATCGTATCCGACTTTTTAAATAAGGCAAGATTTAAAACCGCATGGCAAAGCCCCCCAAAACTTCCCATCCCCCCCCCCAAAAAAGCGCACTCCACTTCTTGCTTCAAATTACGGAGCTATCTGCTTTCAGACAAACTTTTGGAAATAACCTCTTTAGATACACTCGAAGGGCTTTGGGTTTGGTTTTTTTGTTTGTTTGGGTTTTTTTTTGGGAGGGGGTGTTTGTTTGGTTTGGGTTTTTTTTTTTGTGCGTGGTTTTGGTAAGCGGTTTGGGGAGGCGCGGAGCAAGCGCGGAATCCCCGCGGCC